AATTAGACATTTCTTAGTAATTAACAGTGATATTGGACAAACTAATACGCGTTTGGCTATAAGGTAATGTACTTATTAACTACACAAGGTGCCAGTTACTGTAGCATTCGTCAACTTTGCATAATCGATGGTCGAATTATGCCTTTAACAATGTGGTCTACACAAAAGTTCTGAACACCTAACGCCAGTAACGGGCATGGACTAGTAAATATAACTATATTATTATTAATTATTATATATATTTATGATTATGTGTCAGTGTGCGCGCAATGGCCGCGGCGTGTGTTTATATGTACATAGTTGAAACGATTCAATTTCAAGTGCTTGTGTACTAGGGGGTGATTAAATTGATTTGACATAGATTAGATAGTGTATTTATGACGTCCAAAGTCAGTGTCAGGAATCCTACGGAGCAACAAGTTACCTTCTCGCTTCTCACTACGTGAAACAGTCGCAGACTGGCAGAGCCTGGTCGACCCCGCTCCTATGGAATTTTCACGCCCATGCATATGTTTACTCTACTACTACTAGCAGTAAACATGCAGTAAACAACTACTAGATTGGCCCGTTGTCTTGTTGAGTCAGCAACATACCATGTTCGACCGACAGAGTACTGTCCAAGTGATGATATGAGGTCCCCATCTAACTCCATCCCGGATGTATCACCGCTCTATGTTGGCGCGTTAGTATGTATTTATAAAGTTCGCTTGTTCCAACCAATATATATCTCATTATCTGTATATAATAACAGTTATTATATATGGTATCTGTTATTAAAAGTTACTATAATAGTGATAACTGATATCAATGTGGTTCCCACCCATATTTTTATCGTATTTTTATATGCGCCAATATGTCCGCGCCCTTGTGATGTTGGAATGTATATAAACAGCAGTCTTACTCTTACTGTTGAAGTTTAACTACTTGTGGTGCTTTCCTTATGTGATAGTATATCAATAAATACTTCAAAGAATAGAAAGTAATGATGAATCATACATTATTTTACCATCACTTAAGTTAATTATCATAAAGCTTCAAAAAACAGTGTCGTATCATATCATATCATCATACATATGGTTATTACTATTAGCTCCAAGAAACGGTATTGGCTGGCTACTATTGCTAGGGTTAGAATATCGTTGTATTGACCGGTGTATTGACGTAGTCACAGATTACCGTATTGACGTAGTTACTAGTGTATTACTATTAGAATACCGGTGTATTGACGTTAGTCACACAGCCTGGTCGGGTTAATAATGATTATTACATATATATATCATGCATCATTGCATGATCAATATCGTGTTTTTTTACCGTACCACCAATTAATGCGTAAAATCGTCACCACACCATAGACGGTATTTGGGGTTCTTGTATATAAGATAGCCGAGTCTGTGTACAGTTAGTGTTGGGTGTGGGACAGGTTGACTGTTTGTACTTGTGTATTGTCTGCAGTGCATGCGTGGCACGGTAAAAATACACATGCAGGTTGTCCTGGTCGAATGGGAATTCTTGACGATCGATTCCCTCGCTGGCAAACTTTTATTGTGGTGGAATTTAATCGGGGCAGAGGTATTTTAAACAGGGCGCAACGATTGAAACAGGGGGGAGTTTTCCCAAACGGGGCGCGAGCACCCCAGTTGCGCAACGTAGGGAGAACCCTGAGACCCTATCAGCCTAAGACATATGTCTATATGTATCTAGAATTCTAGAATTATATAACCCAACTCGTTCTCCAGATACGAGAGTTAATACACTTTCCGGCTAAAGGATAGAGAGCATGTCCAGTAATGAACATCATTCTATCTTATCACCGTCCTGGACATCATCTCTATCCTTGAACCCACTTTCCTACCGCCCATAGCGTAATAGCATATGAGCGGGGCGGGGGGAGTTAACAGCTGTAGGGCCTATACAATGCGCCAGTAGGCCTACACACAGTACAGCTAGGTGGGCGCGGTAGGGGGTTCGGAGTCGGGTGCCGCCATATTGAAAGTGTATTTGCGCCTAAAACTAAAATGTGTTGGTTCATGCATATATAAGCACTGACCACAATGCATTATCACAAGGAAGGTATTATTTACCCGACCGTCGTGTACCGAGTGATGAAAAATATGGCATTGCGCGCACGACCGTCGGGTACCGAGTGATGAAAATCGCATTGCGTGCATAGGGACAGTGATTTTCCGTTTCAAAAAATTGTCTTTTCCATTTGGGAAAATCATGAATTCCGTTCCAAAGTAAAGAAAAAATGGAAATTCCATTTTGCCATAAAGATTGTACACACCAAAAATGCAAAATTTCGTTCACACATATATTTGCGTGAAAAAAAAGGATTTGGTACAACCTTTGAAACCGGAACCGGCACCGAAACACAGGTCTACCAAAAGTCGTAATTGTAAGTCATTTCGCTCTGAAACTTGTCTGAATGTAAACCATATCATTACCAATGCTATTGTCAACTTTTTGTGTGATTTTATTGAAATTTCCATGTTGTATAATATGTTCAAATTACGTTTTCCGCGTTTTTCTGTTTGAAAACATTTTTTCCGTTTCCAATGGCCGTTTCCGTGTTTACCGTCCGTTTTTCGCGATCGCGGAAAATCACTGTTCCTACGTGCACGACCGTCGGGTACCAAGTGATAGAAATGGCGTTGCGCGCACAACCGTCGTGCGCGCTGTGAAGAAATTAAAGTCTTGTTTACCCGACCGTCGTGCGCGCAGTAAGGAAATTAAAGTATTGTTTACACAACCGTCGTGCGCGCAGTGAAGAAATTAAAGTCTTGTTTACACAACCGTCGAGCACGCACTGAAGAAATTAAGTCTTGTGCACCCGACCGTCGTCCAATAATAATTCATGCGTTGGAATGAACTGAACGAAACGTGTATTGTAATAGGATAATAAGGCCTACACAAATTTCGTTTAGGGTTACGTCCTTGAATAAAATAGGGTAGGTAGGTAGGAAAATAATTTTATTTTGCCAAATAATTTTATTGCTCTTGATTCCCATCTGTCAGTGTCACTCTTGACTAACCTTGTTCGATAGTATTAATTGCTCCCTTTTCTTAGTACTAAAAATGTAACCTTTTCTTATTGAGTAGTCTTGCCTAACAGTCTGTTTTACATTATTTAATATATTAATTGCATACATGTGAGATCTAAATTCATGAATTATTTTCTTAAATTTAAAAACAGTTGAATTTTAATTTTTTTATTTATTTTTTATAAAAACATTTAGGGTCGGCGCCAAAATTCTAGGTAGGGTCGCGTAACCATAAACAAACAATTATGTTGTTTACCAATAGGTTGGGGACATAAGGCCAAACATAACAAGACAAATATATAATAGGACAATTTTTAATGCCAAACATAAACAAATATATTTTATAAATGCCAAACGTAGGGGGAAGGGGGAGGGGAAACTAGGGGGGGGGTCCGGAGGCCTGGTCGAATCACTGGCAGGCAAGAACAAGCCGCACCACCTGCAGCTACAACACACACGCATCTATTGACTATTATTACAAACATTATATATAGTTATATATAACTACTATAACAACTATAGCTACTATAACAACTATAACTACTATAACAACTATATATAACGTTGTTATATATAGTCAATAGAATGCGTCTGGCTGCTCGGTAAGCTGCAGGTGCGGACTTGTTCTTGCTGCCAGTGGGTCGAATGGGAATTCTTGCCGAGGTGGCCCTCTCAATTGCCAGTAGCAGCAGCGCCTCCAAAGCTGACTCACTCAGCCTGTTCCTCATGTAGCCATTCCCATTAAAAAAAAAAAATGTTTTTAATCGGGGCGGAAATAATTTAAACGTGGCCCAACGATTGAAATGGGTAGGAGTTTTTCCAAACGGGGCGGGCGCGCCCGGTTTGCGCAACGTAGGGAGAAGCCTGAGATATTGGTAGTATCTTTGGTGTGACCAGGTACCTCAGACTGTAGGATGTGGGATCCAGGTGACTGGCATTACCGTGCAGAGGGGAACTCCAGCCTCGTAATTGCACACAATGATTTTCCGTATGTGCTACGCTTGCAAAAGATTGCCGTGACTGACGGAGATAAAAAGGAGAAAGAGTGTGCGTTCTTGGACGACGCTGTTCAGGGAGAGTGCCTTACCAGCGTTGGACAGCTCGATGAGAGCGAAATTCTGAGAGAGAACAGTATCAACCGGTCGTTACAGTTTGCTAGCGACGTTATGCTTCCGGTGATCGGCAGTGAATACGTCTCACCAGGATGTCTGATCACTCTACCCGATTACTTTCTAAACAGCATCAGGTTGAACGTCGAAAAAAGCAGACCGCCGAATCGACGGAAGAAGGTTTTGACGATTGGTTTCAATAGTGCCACTCTGCTTCCCGATTTCTGTGTAACGTGGCCCCAGCAAATCAGCAAAGATCCCATCGATGGCTTTTTGCCAAGTTTTATTTCGAAGTTGCGCTGTTTTCGCTTCCATACCCATCCCACTGGCAGCGTGCCAAAAGCAGACGCTGTGTCACTTTGCGTGGAAATCAAGCCGAAATGCGGATTCCGTCCGTCGAACACGCGCCTCTATCCCATCAAAAAGTCCGTCTGCCGGTACTGCATGCATCAGGTGACTAAACTCAAAGATGAGCAAATCGGCAGACTCAGCGCCTACTGCCCGCTCGATCTGTTCTCGGGCGTTCTGAGCAGAACACGACGAGCGATTCGCGCGTTGTTCGAAGACCCGCAGAACAACCTGCGCGTGTTCTACGCGCGCGAACAAGTGTTCGGCGACAAACTTCGCGACACGGACCTGCGCCGGCTGCTGACGACGTTCATGTTTCCCGCCGCGTCGCGCAGTTCGACCGCAGGTGGCGCCACCGGTGCCTCGACCTCGCCGGATGAGGACGTCCTGGAGATGCTCGGCGACGTCATCGTCGAAGCGCTGTGGCGGCGCGGCGGCGACGGCGACGTGGTTCGCGGCGACCTGAGTAGCAATGCAGACGGCTCGGCACCTCGCAACGATGCTGACGTCGGAGCGAACTGCCGTCGGAAGACGCGGTGCCTGTCGGAAGGCGTCCCTCTGCCGCCGGGATGCATATTGGAGCGTGTGCTGTCCGCTCAGAAGCTGGACGCTCTACCGATCGAGGACATTTTAATGCATTACGAGACGTTGGAGAAGAATTCATGGTAGGAATGCATGCAAATCTGTTTCTAGCAGGGGAGGAACAGAATTTACATTTCAATAACCTGGACTTAGCAGTTCTTGTTTGTTACCTATGTATAAACTCAGTAGATGGCGTTGGTGTCTACGACATTTCTTTAACCTGGTGAACAGTGATAGTCGTCAGTAGAATTAAACAGCTGTGGTTGGAATAAGAGCAGGTTCAGAGGATCTATTTGTAGTATTTTATGTTTCAGCCTATTTCGGGATCAGGATGGGCCATACAATACCGAAAGTTGGGCTGCGATACGACAGAATGTGAATGACTCGCTGGAAACAGATGATGGGAAATTGCTTCACATCCGTAGATTCCTGATTGCGCAGACCGCAAAGGACTGCTCGATCTTTATATCTTTCCCGAAGGTAGCTTCTTCCTCACTGCCTCCATCAGACAGTAGCCAAACTGATAGCTCACACAACTGTGGCTATAATAGCGAAGTCAGTGGCGAAAAAAAGTTGTCGGGATTTGGTTCACCGTATCGATTTGCAGGCGAGTTTATATTTTCTGTCCATGTCGTAGACCTGGACCCAAAAGATTGCAAGCGCATACCAAAGTATTTTGAGGACGATGAAATCATTGTAAAAACATATGAAAATTATTTAAAGGAATAAAAATAAGGCACCTGGGGATAGTTTGCAGGAAGAATGGATATTACCATACAGTGGCTTATATGCTGATGATGTGATGTGAAAAATGCTGGTGGCGGCCATGCTATTTTCATTTGTATATTGCTGGCCACTTGGCACTTGGCAAGTTATTGCATTTACCAATAGACGTGTTCTATTATGCCCAATATACTGCTTGTGTCTAATCATCCAGATGAGACGGGATACTAGAGAAGCGTTGCCGAAAGGAGGTGTTGATCCCAAGCGCTATAAGCGCAGATCTTGCGCGCAGTTCCGCGGCAAGGCGCACGCGACCGCGGGAACGTCCTACGACAGTATGCAGCGCTGACAGCTATGGATCCGTGCCGCGGGCGAATTATTTTGTGTACGGGGA